GCATATATAAATACATATATTTCTATATTGACACTCACTGTTTTGCAGTTGCAGGTGTTAGATTTTTGCCTGCAAACAGTATATCCAGCAGACAATTTTGAAAAAAATTGTAGGAACTGGATTACCTGTGAGACCTTGTCATGGTTTAGCCCCAGCCAGCAACTAAGCACCACGCAGCTGCTCGCTCACTCCCCCTGCCCCGGTAGGATGGGGGAGAGAATTGGAGGAGTAAGAGTGAGAAACACTCCTGGGTTGAGATAAGAACAGTTTAATAATTGAAATAAAGTAAAATAGTAATGATAATAGTAACAATATAATAATATACAAAGCAAGTGATGCATAATGCAATTGCTCGCCACCCGCCGACCGATGCCCAGACAGTTCCCGAGCAGCAATCGCTGCTCCCCGGCCAACCCCCCCAGTTTCCATACTGCCCATGACGCCGTATGGTATGGAATGGCCCTTGGGGCAGTTGGGATCAACTCTTCTGGCTGTGCCCCCTCCCAGTTTCTTGTGCCCCTGGCAGAGCATGGGAAGCTGAAAAGTCCTTGACTAGTGTAAGCAGTACTCAGCAACAACTAAACCATCAGCGTGTTATCAACATTCTTCTCCTACTAAATCCAAACCACAGCACTGTGCCTGCTACTAGGAAGAAAGTTAACTCTATCCCAGCCAAAACCGGGACAGACCTCTACCCGGGTGTCAGTGGTGTTGAAATTGGCAGTAGTTTTAAAGGCAGTTGGAGATACCAGCAGGAGGGCTGGCAGTATGATCGCAGAGGTCTTATTTTCTTAGGAAACAAAGCTAAAATGGCGGTTCTTATCATAGGAGGGTGCTAGCCTCAGTGTCTCAATCCCTTTCTACATCAACGTGAAGTTACCTAAGCAGTGTCACTCCCTGTGTTGTGACAGAACCAAAATTTCCCCATGTTACTTTGCAGCTGTATGACCTTATGACTATGGCTTTCAAATACCAAGTGCTGCTGTGCCCTCGGCCCAAAGACATTCTGCTGGTCACATTCAATCACCTGGACGCGATCAAGGATTTCGTACGTGATTCTCCTGGCATTCTGAACCAGGTGGACGAAACTTTCCGACAGCTCATTGAAGTAAGAATACTTGGAAAAGTGGTGGGATGCACTGTTGTTTGAGATTTTATTTTTTTTTTCCTCTTTCAAGCTAATCTTAGAGACTAAATACTGTATCAGTAAGTGCCATATCAAGTGTGGGGGTTGATATGTTCTTAACCTTGGAGAACCACCCAAATAACCTTTCCTTCTTTTTAACCCGAGGGAAACAAACGGGCCTCCTGGTTAGCAGCTTCGGCTCATGTAACTGCTGTAATTCTTTGGACAAAGAATATGAGTGTCCCAGTGAAAGGGAACTGGTTTCATAAAATGTTAAAGCTCTGGGAAGTCATGAAATGTTTCCAAAGGGCTTCTGGAGAGGGAGATGTCTACGAGTCAAGTGTTATTTTTCTACTGGCCCAGTTTAAATATATACATTGCTTATTCAGCCTGATCAAAGTCTCCACTGACTTCAGCAGAAATTAAACCAGACTCTTAGTCACAGATAATAATTACTGATAATGACCAGCAGCCCCGCTTTATCATTTCTGCTTCCCCTGCCACACACGTACCATTTTTGGCTAGCAGTATTCTGATATACTTGTTTCCACCTTTACCTGGGTTGGACACGACACACTTGCAAAGCCTTACATGATGGTTTTTCTTTTCCAGACGTACAGCTGCCTCTCTGCTGGTGAATTTCAGCTCATCAGGCAAACCCTCCTCATTTTTTTTCAGGACATGCACATAAGGGTAAGAGCCCAATATAACTAGACAGTAAGAACAGAAGGGAGGTTGTGGCTACTATATGAAGGTATCTTGTCATAATTACACTGTAATTTTGGGTTTGTTACTTATGCTTTTCAGTCATCTTGATGTGCTTGCTATTTCGATCTTCAAAATTTTACAAATTGAGTAAATTTACTACAATAATACTCAATTCGAAAATGTTATGGAAAAAAGAATATCTACTGGTATGGATTTGCCTGTTGATAAATATGGTTTTCCTTTTAGTAGAAACTTGATATGAAACTGAGAACCTGAGCTTGAAGTCATGGGGCTTGATACTCTCTAAATAAATCGATCATACTCAAGTGCATAAACAGTACACTTTTTTCCCCCCATTGTTACATCAGTGTGCCCATCCTCTGAACCACAGTTTGACATTACTGGCTTTGGCCTGTATCATAGTCTCTATATATACCTCAAAATCTTTAGGAAACCAACCCCAGTCTAGGCAGGAAGGCTGCAAGGTCAGACTTCAAAGAATTCGGATCAGAAGATACGTAACTGATTTTCTAGACAGTGGAATATTCTTTTGCAGGTCTCTATCTTTCTGAAGGATAAAGTGCAAAACTCTAATGGTCGCTTTGTGCTGCCAATATCAGGCCCTGTTCCTTGGGGTACAGAAGTTCCAGGACTCATCAGGTGAATTCTGAACCACTGCTTATACTGTTTGCAGTGCCTTGCATGTATGGCTGCTCACGGAGGAACAGTCAGTCCCAGAGGTCTAATAGGAAACGAGCTTAGACTGTCGTTTGTGTTGCATGGATAGCTGAACCTCCAGTAAGTACTGTTTAAAGGGCAGGATTTGGGACTAAGTCACCCAGCAATGAAATACTAAGCTGTTTCTGCATTCTCTATTCTAGTAAATTAGCTATTAGTCATTTATCCATTTACCAATGTACAGAATAGGTTTTATTCCCATTTCTCTTGTACAGTAAGCAGAGGAAGTACTGAAAATCAGTAATAAAACTGCTAAATATGTTTCAATAATGACTTGTTTTTAAGGATGTTTAATCGCCATGGAGATGAAGTTAAAAGAACCGAGTTCACCACTGGTGGAAATTATGTTACGCCACAAAGGGAAGGATCTTTTGATCTTTATGGAGACAGAGTCCTCAAACTTGGAACAAATATGTAAGTCATTTTCGTCCTACATAGAAACATGAAGTAAATGTTGAACGTTATGTGTTTTTTTTAGAAGCACATCTTCAGCCTTGTGTATTTATTTTTGCCTCTTCCACTATTATCAGCTTGACTTCTTTACAAAGTGATGGCCTGAAACAGCACGCGTGTGGATAGCTGTGTATAAAGAGCTGTTGAAAAGAGCAAAAGTCTGGTTTATGTGTACAGTAGAGCTGAGTAAAGAGTGTTCCCATCTGGTACTGCATGTTCTGTGAAATGTAATTTACTTTCTTTTCTCCGTGTTTGTCTTATGTAATTTTTCCATTTGCAGAATAAGAGAAAGCATTTTCTTACTTCTTTCTCACAGCTTTGTCGCTCGTATATTGAATGCCTCAATGCTCCATTGAAATGAACTGTAACTTCTCACTTCAGTTATTTTAGGACATTTTTCTGAAGACTGTAAATGATATTTAGATCCTATGCTGCTCCCTCCAGTTCCTGTATCACATACAAGTAACGGGTTGCTCTTCCTCATGTGTCCTCTCTAGGTACAGTGTTAGTCGGCCAGTAGAGACACACATGTCAGGAGCATCCAAAAACTTGGCATCCCATGCAAAGGTCAGTGTCGTTCTGTTCCTGTCACTGGTTCACTGGTTAACTAGCCTGTGTCAGTGAGTCCCGCAGCCGGTCACACGTGGTGGGAGCGTTTCCTTTGAGCAGTTTCACCACGTCCAGCAGATTGTACGTTCTGCTTCCCTTGGCTTTTAATAGATGGGGACACTGAATGAAACACCCACATCCGTCATCTCCGCATCATTTACTAGACAGTTGCACTATCTTCCCCTTTGTTCGTCCCCTTTCTCAGGGAAACAATAACCATCATCTTAGTCTATGCTTACAGGCTAAATTCAGGGGAACCTGTTTAGTTCTTCCCAGAGCCCCACCCAATCCTCCATGGCCCCTTTTCAGCTAGGGGAAGGGCACGTTTTCCTAAAGAATCTTACACATGGGCTTATGCAATGGTGTACTTACTTCCATTTTAATCTCTTCAGGAAACAGCAAGCTGGTTTTACAGATTTCTCAGCTGTTCAGTTTAGCTGGAAAATTATCTTGTCCCGGGTCTATAAATTCAAGCAACCATTTCAAATATATAGCTGATAATTACTAGTTATCTGCACAATCTGTACCATTAACAACGCAGAAATGTATTTATATCACTTTGAAGAACATTTATGTAATACCAGAAAACACAAAAATTATTACAGTCCTCGTCTCCCTGGTAACCTGACCAATGAACCCACTGCTGTTTTCTGCAGGAGAATATAGCCCCTAACCCTCTTGCTAAAGAAGAACTGAACTTTTTGGCCAGGCTGCTGGGAGGTCTGGAGATCAAGAAACCTGGTGACAGTGAGACCGGATTCCGGCTGAATTTGTTCACCACTGACGAAGAGGAGGAGTATGCTCAAGTCCTTCTTGGTGTGGGGTTTGGGACCTAGTGCCAGGTGGACAGCCTGGAGACGGAAGCTGGCCCTTAACAGCTTTAGGGACAGAATAGCAGGGTTTTAGCATTTTTGTATTCTGGTCCAGATGGTCCCTGCAGGAACAAAAGAGGAGCAGTTTCCCTGGCTTGACCTTTTTATTAAGGCTGTCAGCAAGGAGAGCCATTTCCCTTACTGGTGTCTCCCATGATGCTCGGCCGTGCGTTCCCTCCAGGTGACGCTGATCCGTGCTTAGCTCTGTCCCGCAGAACAGAGACATCCCTTCAGCCCTTTCAGCTCTCCTCTCCCCCAAATACATGTACATATTTCGGAGATAAGAATAGCCTGATGGGCTTGAACACCATAGCCCCCTTCCGGCAGGGAGCATAAGGGTAATGAGACTTTTTGATTATGTGATTTCTGCAGAATGTTTTTACCTTTTAATCTCAA